TATATCCAAGGAAATTCTTCTCTTCACCAAGCTTTCTTCACATGTGCTCCTGGGAACTGTTGCTTCCAGCTTTCCTCAGGAGAACATGGGAAGAACAATGACAACTAAGTCCTGTACAGAGGAAGAGCTCTCAAACAGCACAGCTAAGGACTAGGGAAATCAAAATGAAGAGTACACTTGGGAGGAGAGCAAATGTTTGAGCTTTCAGTGAGTGATGTCTCTGGAAATCGGAGACATTTAGATGGGAGACAGATAGATGTTTTAGATACCCAAAGAGACATTCCACAGCAAAGACAATCTCAGTAAACTGATTTGAAACTACAAAAGTTGACCAGAAGTTGATTAAAAGGATCCCTTAAATTGTTGATTTTGCTCCTGCAGTAATGACTGGACTCATAGTGATACAACTACCTTGAGATTAGTTTGTACATTTCTCTCGTACGAGAGAAGGATGATCAGATCCTATTCACCCAAAGCAATAAATCTCTGGATGATATTCTATCTGGGATAATTACATCAATAGAGATACTTCAGCAAGTGGCCAGAACTCTGCTGATGTTGAGGTTTTTTTTAACTGATACTGAAGGAGACCAAAATAACTGCCTGCATGTATCTGAAGATCATTTATAGCATAGTTGAAAAGGGACAGTATAAAAGGTACCTAAATATAATATATGTGTGTTGTGTTAAGCCAAATAAGTTGATGAATCCAGTTGTGACCCAACGAGGACTCATGCGTGCCATATGTTCTAGAAGCTTTACGGATGAGCTCCCTGACTCAGCTGCTTAGATGGGCTGTAAAACTACAGTATGAAAATCCTACAGAGGCTATGTAAAATGAGGTATTGGGAAAGAAAGAGCTTCTAACAATATGAGATCTACCAAGGGACAGAATCACAAAAGAAGGAGTAGGGACCACATTTTTTGAGATACAGGCACTGAGTTTGATAGCTGCTCTGCACAGAGGTGCCTGGAAGGATGCTGAGCTGGTCTTTTCCATGTACAGCTGTGATTTTGTTTCTAGCAGCCGGCATGAATGAAAAATAAACTTGTTTTTCCTCAGAGTGAAGCAATTAACCATTTCAAATTCCTTCTCTATGGTAACATTAGGGATTCCCAGTGAATAGGTGGGATGTATTTCCCCACCTGTCAGTGTCCCTTCATTAGGCACTGCCTCCAATGCTGGCCATCTAGTTTTGGTACTTATTGCTCAACTGCTCCTTGTCAATTATAAACGTAAATCCTTTGCTGCTGCAGCTGGATACATCAGATATCAGGCTGGACTCTCAATATGAGAGCTAACACATGGAGGCATGACTGACAACAGGCAAAAATTTGAATTAATTGAGATTCCCTTCCTCATTTGGAAACAACTCAGTAAAAATATAAACCTTGTCATATTGAAGGATGGCTTAATACTGCACTCCTAAATGAGACATGACTGAGTCTTAATCCCTCTGAGTGAAACTTGACTAGTTCCTATTAATAGTTCATTATTATCTCTGATTGTTTCCCCCCACTTCAAATCCTTTGTGTATCATTTACACGGGATTTGGAGAGACTTTTTCCCATTTTAATAACACTCACACACATCAGCTAAGTCAGTACTGTTTCAAACTCAGCCTCCCTCTTCTGCAGTGATCAAAATTAAATGCCAGCTGATCCCCAGGGAGGCTACAGGCTGAGCCAGGCACAGCAAGCTCCTCTAGTAGATACTGATGCTTTCAGTGAACCCACTCACTACTTATTTATGAGTTTAGTAGTAGTTCAACACTGCGTTTTTACACAAATCACAGGATTCCAGCCCAGCATCTTGAGCTGAGACAGTTTCTCTAAACTCTCAGACTCATCCTCAGATTGCCTCCACCCAAATTTGCTATTTCTCAGTGCAAAGCTCTGCTAGTGTGTATTTCTGCTTACTGACAGAAGAGATGAGGGCAAAAATCTCTCTTTATTTTACCTTCCTAAAGAACTGCCTTCTGGCTGCCTCTGCTAGGAGGAACTGAAAGAAAAAAATGAATTAACATCCCTAATACCCACTACCAAAACTATGTGGGATAATTAACCACAGCTGATCAGGGCTCATCCAATAAAGCTCTGGGGGCTGTTAGCACCAGCTGTGTCTTTGTGCAGGTGAAGTCTTTCTTCCTAGGGGCTAACACAGACCACACTCATTTTCCTAAGGATGATGACCCAGGTCACCAAAAGATTCAAGAACCTGTGATTTCAGGAACTTTAAACTTGTACTGGCAGGCAGTGTGTACTTGTCCCTCCGAGGACACAAGAGGGAGATCACCTCACTTGTAGAAGGAGGAAATGCGCTCATTCCAAGGGTTCTTCTTTATAGCTTGAGCCCAGCCCCTGTGCTGCTATAACAAAGAGCGATCACCATGAAAGCAGTTCTTAGGGGAGGGAACACTGTTGTCAGCACTGCCATCACCCAGAACGCTATCAGCTAGTCAGGAGAAAAATCTAATGGGACAAGAGAATAACCAAAACCCTTAGTTCCCTTTTGGGTATGAAGTGAATTGGTTGTAGAGGATATTTAATGTTAAGTGCGTCATTTGCTGTCCATTTTGTGCTGCAGTTACAGGTGATCACAGGACACCTGAAAGTTATTGAGGAAATAAACTGGCAATGCTATAATTCCCATGAGCCCAGCATTTAAAAAAAATAATTTTATTTCCAGTTTGCAAGTGAGCAAGACAGCAGGTAGTGCGGTTTTTAGCGTTCTGATTTTGTGCCAGCTTTATAGGGTGAGGATTATGCCCAGATTCAGTGATCCTGTTTTCAGACAAGAGGCAGAAGAGCCAAGGTAATGTGCTGCCCTGTTTTAGCATTTGCTAGTAACATTCTCTGATTGGGACTACTGTGGTATTCGAGCTAGTCTTACTTTGCACCTTGCACAGGCATTCATGCCTGAACAAAGAACATACAAAATGCTGCTCTCCAGATTTGGCAGCACGTTTTAAGCATTTGGCACCACCATACATTTCAGCATAAAGTGAAAGAAAACAAAGAATCCAATCCCATTCACTTCAAAAAGAGGAAATAAATAAATAAATAAGTGAAAAGAGTATTTTGCACTTACCTAATGGCAAAATTTGCCAGGTCTGACAAGTCCCTTTTTTTAATGTCCCTGTCAAGCCTGCTTTTAAAACAGGAAGAATGGCAGCTGAGGGCAACTAATAGCTTACGGGGTCAATCTCAGTATTAGGATTTGAATAGAGAAATGAAAGAGGTCTAAAGGGAATGAAATCTCCGGCCACAGAACTATGATCCTTTTGGGAATTATTCCCATGGGGCCACTTAGCAACAGGCCACCATCCAAGCAAAGAGCCTCATGAGCAGAGGAAAAACTTTCTTCTTTCTATTTTGCCCTCTCTGCTGAAGATTCTGTTTCAGACTCATTCCCTGGGGAGTCCGTGCCTCATCAAGAAGAAATAAAGCTGGCCCATCTAAGAGTGATTGTGTCTCCTGCTCTGCAAAGGCACACATTTCTCTTATCCTCAGGAAGAAAATTGTCTCATTTTATATTCAGAATCAAATGTACTGAAATTATAAGCGGTGGAATAATTGCGTTCAACACGACACACTGCATCTGACCTTAATAAGGCAGCCTGGTGGCCTTAACGGTTATGGGACTGGCTGCTTCTATTCGTAGACCTGGGGATCATTTCTGTATTCTCCCCGCAGTAAAAATAAGTTATCTGCTTCTTGCATTATGTGCGTGTGCTCCATATGACCCTGGGGGCTCCGGCAATAACTCGTTACATCCTGCTGCAACTCAGAGTTTATTTGGTCACTGCCACTGACATAGAAACAAAGAAAGTAAACATTTACCTAGAGAGAGGAATAGACACGGATGTGGAGTCACTATTAACCTTAATTTTTTGAGCCGAGTTTTAGCAACTCTGGAAGAAACTTTAGCTTTTCTGACACAATGAAGTTACCCTGAGTATTGGTGAGTCCAATGCAGGAAGGACATGCTTCTTTTATAAAGGCATTTGGATAAAAATCTGACACAAACCAAAATCTGTTAGCAGCCCTCACTTCTGACCTTCAGGTCACACTGCTACTCAGATTCTGCCCCCACACATCTCTGCTGATGCTTGTTGGTCATAACCTACACCCTCCACTATTAGAGCACCGAGCTAACCGTGCCATCCAGAAAGCAAAATTTTCTGATGGGATAACTGTATCACAAACCCATCACACAAGTTAGAGTTATTAGTCTTTGCTTGGAAATGTCCCTCCACTTTGATGATGGAAATCCACAGGATGGGAGGGGGTGATCAGCCCCATTCAGGACATACCCTTGGGAGCCTCCAGATATGGATATCCCTCTTTTCCTTGAGGATCAGTTAATCAAAAGCACTGAGATAAGAGATGAAAAGAAACATCCCACCTTTCTGCTGAGTAACAGCAGCAGCTGGAGAGAAATGTGTGGATATAACTGAGATCTAACAACTGTGTGCAAATTCTATTCTCCAGAGAAGTGCAAACATGAAAGTTGGGTGAGTACTTTGCCTCCCTTCCCTGGAAGAGGATGAAATAAGGTTTCTGCATTTAAATATCCAATATTAAGTTATAACAGTGCTTTCTTTCAGGACTTGTGCATCCTTATTTGTTCTAGTTCAGCTTTCTCCATAATCTTGGGTTTCTTCAAACCAAAGGCAATGGCACACACTTTAACCCCTTGCACTGCTGTTCCTTAAGCATTAAAGAGACTTTCCAGTATTTCCTTCACAGGGATTTTGGAAAGATAGTGCTCCAAATGCTTGGAAAGATGTTCAGGGGCTGTGGACATAGACGTTGTACAATATATTGACATGAAAAAATAACTGATATGTGTCTTTATCAGAAAATAGCAAGGAAATCACAAATAGACCAGGAGACTTGAAGAAAAGGTATCTGCCTTATTTTCCCAGGTCTTTCCTTGGTCTGCTAGGTGAACCTGTCCATTTCCCCAGTTACGATATGGGAACAGTAATACTTACCTCACAAGTCCAGAAATCGGGAGAACTGAATTCACCTGCAGAATGCTTCATGATTTTCATCACAGATTGTGTCTGAGAATTAGTAATGCCCTTGTCCTCATGCAACCCTGATGCAGCTGTTTCTGAGTCTCTCACATTCCAGAGCTAAAGCAAAGAAAGCAGAAGTCATTATTGCTTTAACTACCCCTGTGCAGACCTGATGCACTCTCTGAAACACGTCTTGGATGACACAACAGGTTGTAGCCCATGTGTTGAGGGCAATCACACAATGTCTCTGTAGCTACATTAAGCCACAGCACGTAGCACGAAGCCCCATCCTTGTTCAATGAGCTTTGCAAAACAAATCATAAGCAAAACCAAAGGCTTTAAGAGAAACTGAAAACTCCATCTTACCTTTGTGCCCCTGAGCTGCCTCCACTGGCTCACCATGCAGAGGTGAGCCCCTGAGCTGCCTTGGAGAACATGGCAGCATAGCAGACACCTTGTAGCAGTTTGTCACTCTGTTGAACATCAGGGACATCCGTTCACTTCTCTGCAGAATGCCTCTGGCAGGAACTTTCCAAGCTGAAGCATGTCCTTTGTCTCTGAGGAAGATCCATAATCTGAAGACAGAGAAGATCTCCAAATGGCAGGAACTGGTCAGTGTCACTTAGCAGTGACAGGGTTTTTGCTCTTGGTGTTACGTAGCATGGTTGCATCATTTATGGTCCATAGCCTACTCTACATCTCCCTCTTTGCAGTGCCACCGTGGAAATGTCTGTGTAAATATGAATTTCAATAGCCATTATAGTGCCAGCAGTAGCAATCCGCATTTGGTACCTCAGAGCCTGCTGATCTGTCATAGTCATAAGGCTACTTATCTCCTGCTCTTTTCAAATACCTCAGCAGTGGATACAAAAGGGAAATGGCAGAAGCTATTCTTATGTGGAGTCTGAGAGGGTTTTTTCCTCTTTTCCTTTTTTTTAATTTCCTTTATGCTCTACCGTTGCTACATTACTAAATGTCACATTCAAAACTGATGACAAAGTTTGATGAGAGATAAGGGATAACAATCTTCCCAATTTCTGCTCATGTAAGACTCCTGGCCTAGAAGAGCAGTTAGTTGCAGGATGAGGTTGTGAGGGTACGGAGCTTTCTTGTCTGCTTGCTAATCAAAGCACCATGGTCTGAAAGCTTTAAAAGATTTAGTTCAGATCACCTTTGTGCTCATTTTTAGCTCCGCTATCTATTTGGTAGTGAATCCTCAGCTCCAGTCTACAGATGTTGAGTTACTAAAGGATGGTGGGAGAGGAGAGCTTGTACACCGTGGACACAGGCATTGTTCATAAGACAAAGAGAGGTAAGGTTTCAGAGGGAGTTCCAGTGAGGATAACAAGAATGAAATCTGTAATATTTATTGCCCTCACCCACTCTTCCCTCTGCTAGCCTATTCATCACAAAGTGTTGGTGAAAATTGCTGGTTCTCTGACCATAGTGGAAAAAGATTTCAGAAACATAAGGTAAGAGCACCAACACAAACAGCAACCTTTGCAACTTTCTGCTTGGAGCTGCAGGAACACGTCAGCACTGGATACCACCTTCAAACTTTTGATGCTCCTTTACCTTAGAAATAAATTTGTCTTTCTTCACTTGCATGTTTTTTTTTCTAATTGTCACGAAGGTAAATGGATCCTTTCACCACCAGCTGACAAGACTGACTACTTGTACAGCTGTGATTGGAAATCTCCAGGACTTCATTGCTTGGAATTTGCTGTGGCAGAGAAAAAGAAGGGGTCAAGGCCAGTCAGTTGGTAGTGCAGCAGCAGGCAGCCTTCCTGCCCTGCCTGATATAAACAAGACATTGCTCAAATGCTCCCATTTTCTCTACTTCTCACAGTGTTACACATCATTGAAAATCTTCCTCATTCTGCAGCTTTTGCTGGAAGGTTCAGTCTTAGAAATAAATCCTAGATTAGCAAAACAGGAAGCTTTTCAAGCACTGATTGCTAGAGGCTGGGGAGGAGAACCAGGCAAGGCATGGACAGTCTGTTCTGACATTTACACTGACGCATTCACCACTGCCACTCTGCTACCAGCTGCTGGGCTGAGTGGACTTGTGATCTGATGCAGTGTGGCTGTCTCCTCTGCTCCTCTTTATGGAAGGGGTCAATAAGTAAATTTATCTGTTAAAAGTTAATAGCTTGAAATTTCATTCCAATTTCCCTTGCCAAGACAGCTAATGATAAATTTAGCTTTTAAGAAAGAGAGCAGACATATAAACCTCTCCTAATCAGAGGAATGGCAAGGCACACTGTTGCTTCCACTTAATCCAATCTGCAAATCTAAACTAATACTCTGCCTTTCACAAGTGAGGGTCCATATGGACCAATATATTCACAGACCTTCAATGTTTTTCATATTTTTAAAATGTCCTTCACTGCTGTCACCTCTGCAATCCTTCCAATAGCATCAGCAGTGGCAGGGCTATCATGGACCAGCAGTGCTGTTGATGTCCTATTACCACACTGTTCAGGCCCTCACAAATCAATTTTGGGTGATATTGCAGTGCAAATGTCAGCAGCCAGGGCTGTAGTGTTGGGAAGCTTTAGAGAGAAAGCATGGGTTTCTGCTGAACTGGACTAATATTTTACATCAGGGATAATAAACAACAGGATCATAGAATCATAATCATTAAGGTTAGAAAAAACCTCTAAGATCATCTGGTCCAACCACCACCCATCCCCACCATGCCCACTGACCATGTCCCTCCGTACCACATCCACACATTGAACAACTTCAGGAACGGTGACTGCACCACCTTCCCAGGCAGCATGTTCCAATGCCTCACCACTTACTTTCTGAGAAGAAATTCTTCCTAATATCCAAATTGAACCTACTCCAGTGCAACTTGAGGCTATCACCTTTCATTCTATCATTAGTTAAGTGGGACAAGAGGTCAACCCAGTCCTTGCCACATCCTCCTCTCAGAGCTCATGCTCCAGACCCTTCCTTCCTCTTTATCTTCTGCCCCAGGTGCAAGAATATTCAGTAAAGGATGAGACAGGGATCCTTGACATGTATCTCTAATTCCTATTGAATTTTTTTCAGGCAAAGCCATATATAACAATAGTCAGGACAAAATAAAAGCCAAGAACAAGGCCTAAAAACCTCAGATATTCAGGTTTTCTTGATATTGATTATCTTGATTCAGTGCTTTTCTTCCTACTCAAATCTGACAATAGCATTGCAGAGAGAAACAACTCCAAGGTTTCTGAGAAAACAGGACAAGTGCTGTATGCCTGGGGGAAAAAAAAGAAGAAAAAAAAAGACCAAGAGCAAAGAAATAAGGTTGAATCAGAATTTGGCTTTCTTCAAACATACCCACTCTCCTCCCATTGCTCCACTGAGCTGGAAGCTTACAGCATCATCTGGTTGTGGAAAGGTGAAGGCTATTTGCACCCTGCATATTCTGTGCTCAATCATTGCGATTGCATGAGCAATCACCAGCTTAGGACAAAGTCTGATACTGTCTCCATTGAGTTGGCCTCTTTGTATGTGCTGGAAGAAGTGTCATTTTGGTCCCTTTCCACACACATTCACATGCAAGGCACACTGTGACTTTGCTGCCATTTGCCTTTCCTGCCCCACAGGGACAGACTTTCGGGAGGAAGTGGGAAAGTGCCGACGGCACTTTAGAACATGTTTAATTTGCCTTTTGTATGACTGCTGCCAGAAGCTGAGGAGCATTTCACCTCAGAGTTTGTCTCAGAAGGCCAGAAAATCCATTTGGTTTAAGATTTTCCACAAGCCTGTCATTGTGGGTACAGTTTATCCAAAGGAGAGATCAATCATTGAATCATAGAATCACTTGAGTTGGACGGGATCCTTACAGGTCATCTAGTCCAACTGCTGTAATGAACAGGGATGAGATGTTCTTCTTTGGTTTGGGGCAGCCACATAAAAGCAAGACAAGCTTTTATAGAAAACAGGAATTAGAGTGAATGAGCCCAGATTTGCATTCAAACTTAAGCTGCCATCATCAAAACGAGAGAAATTCAAGGTGATCTTTTCAGCATGTTTCCTGTTGGCAGTTTACATGCATAAGTGTAATTCTGTGGTGCATGTATAGATTTGTATATATCTGCTGATTATTTATGTGAATTCTGGCGTATGTGTTTACGCGTATTCTCGAGGCTTACTCCTATCCATTAAGCAATACTAAGTAGGTTAGTTAACCTATTTTCCAGTGTTTACCTATGCAAAGTAATAATTGAATTGTACTTACAGCACTTTGCAGCCAGGACACTTGGGGCACTGTAGAACAACAATAGAAACAATTCAGAGCACGATACAAACATCGTATTAAAATCATCTTATAATTCAAACAAAGCATGCTGAGTTCCTAAGAGGCAGAGCAATGGAGATGTCAGAAAGGAATAAGTATGTGGTTACAATGGCTTTGTTTCAAAGCACACCAAGAGAAAAGTGTGTCTTAGATGGATTTAGCACAGACCTGACAGTGGAGTGAGCTCCCAGTGCCAAAGCCCTTTCTGACAGAGACTGACTCTAAAAGATGAGCTGTGTCTGGGCACCATGCACAGTCACATTAAGCTTGAGGAAAGCAAGACCGAACTATTGCAGGGATCTGTGTCATGAAGGGCTTTCCAGCTGCAGTAAGTGACAGTCACTCTGCCTTGTGGGAAGCTGCCACTGCACTGAGCACAGGGCATGGGGAGTTTCATGCACCAGTGGGGACAGGGGGAGCGACCTCCTAATGAACAGTGAGGGTTGTTCCACCAAACAGCAAATCAAGTGGCCTGTTGTGGGCACAGAGGAGAAGCCCACCCTTCTTTTTTTTACGTCACATCTGCATGTCCCCATAGCTTTGCCAATGGGAATGCCAGCTGCTCAGCTTGCCTGCCAAGGTGTCCCCAGAGAATGCTGTGGGAACTGTTGTTGTTCCTCATGAGGTTCCTGGAACAGAGATACCAAACCAGCGGGAGCCGTGCAGATGAGAGTCCTGTGATTTGTTGAGTGCCTACTCCAAGGCTAGCGCTATGCAGAGGGAGCTGTGACTGGTGATAAGCGCCTAGCTCCAAGGCTACCAAGAGCTAAACAAACCTGTGCCAGTTTTGCAGCAAGCAGAGCTGATAGCCATCCTCCTGCTGCATGCTGCCCTGTGCCTTCTCTGTGTAAATCAGGGATTTCCTGCTCAGATGCCCAATGCTAGAGCTGCCTTTAAGTGCCCCACGTTGATTGCAATGGAATACAATCGGTACAAGTTGGCTCTTGCCTGAATAAAATGAAAATCCTAAGCAAAGTCATGTCTGACAGAGCTGAATGTGGTATAGGCAGAGGAAGGCTGAACACTGCCCTCTGCCTTTTCAGCTCTGTGCAATAGGCATTTTCACCCCGAAGTCTCCCATAGCATCTACAGTGGTATTTCAGGAAAAATTCCAGGACAGTCACAAGGATCTGGGGTGAGGCATGAGTTCTGCTGGTGGTATGCAGAGAACTAGCAGCAATGATGGGAAGAAAGAGTACTGAAGAGGGAAAAAGCATCAGGATATAGACGCTTATGCTGGTTTACTCTGGGAGGCACCAGGAGGCTGTGGATCATGCTGACTGTCTGACAGGAGTCCCAGTACAATCATAGCAAAAGATCCCATAGCGACCTATCTGGCTGTGTTGACAACTGTGTTTGAGAGTCCCACAGCATGTGAGACTTCATGTAGTCTAAAAATAAAGCCAATAATTTAATATAATCTCACTGACATAAATGCAATCATGGATTTCTTGTACCCATTCAATCATGAATGCAGCATACATATTTTCCCTCTAATTTAAGGAATATCAGATGATCTTGGTCCAAACTTTAATTTAATATAATGAAATAGGGAAAGAGCCTTCAGTGTATAAATAAAATTACTTGTTTGCTAAATCAGAGTAGCACAGAATACAAATTAGTTACCAATATTTGTACAGTGCTTAGACAAGTAAGTCCTTGAGTAAAAGTCCTCTTGGAGTATCCGCTTGAGAAAAGGAGTCAAAAGATACTGTTCTACTATCTTTGTGTTCTCTCCAGCAGCTGTGCGGGTGTGATGGGTAGGAAGTGGATCTGGCTGGCAGGGGTTATAACACAATCTCTTTTCTTCCACAACTGTACCCCAAAATGCATAAATGTTATAGGGAAGAGCACTGTCCAGAACTGGTACTCCCAGTGAAGTAATTGGTGATGGAGAGAATGAGACCTTATGGTGATATTGAGACAGAAACCAGAATGTCTTAAAATTTGCAGTATTGGAGTCATTACTGAGTTTCTCCAGACAGTGCTTTAGCTGGAAAAGTTGCTGTGGCAGTAAAAACAGCATCCCTAGAACACAGCCTGAGACTCCAAGCTGCCAACCCTAATCTAAGTTTATTATGCAGGGCCATACAAGAACAGCAACAGCAACACTGTCCTTTCAAGGTTAAATGTTTGAAATGACCTAGTATATCAAAGGAAGTGATATATCAGAATAAATTGGGCCAATTGTTAGAATTAACCCTCAGAGGAGGACTGTCCAGAATCTCTTAAGTGCTGCTTTTCTTCCCAAAAACCTCCTGTTATGCTGCCTCATGTATTATTAGTGACATTAGACCTATATCTATGGCTTCTCTGTCACAATCCTTACACATCACTCACTGACATTGGCCTTTCCTCACAGCTTTCATAAAGAATGACATTTTTGACATCACCCTATGAGGAAGAAGTAAAGAAACAGAAGAAACAAAGAAGCATGCTATATCAGTATGAAAACATAGAGATTCCACTAGTTAGTGATCTGAGAGTTTAGAAGACAGGTGATGTCTCCTGTAGATTCCTTCTTGTAATGGAAGGAAAAAGATATGTGAAGGATTGCCTCTCACTGTTCTGAGCACCTGATGAGAAAGTGATTGAGAACTTCCAAAGTTTGTTTCATTCATGTGAGGCACATTTATATTTTGGGGATATTTGAATTAAACAACCTCCTGTGGCTTCCTTGCACAGTTTGAGAATGTCCTTTCTTCTTCTTCTTCCGGTATTTAGGAATGAGGAACTGTGGAAAATGTGCAGCATGGGAGAGAAGACCAGAGCTCTTCTAGGAAGAAGTTTGATGGTGCTGGAACAGACCACTTATATCCCAGTATGGATACTTCTGCCTTTCTCTTTTTTTTTTTCTCCTTTTTGCTCTTTTTTTTTCTCAAGAGGAAAAAGGGAAAGGGGACAGGGAAGGTGAAAGAAAGAGAAGAGGAAGAGGAGGAGCAGGAGGAGGAGGGGGGAAGGGGGGGGAAGGAGGGGGAAGGAGGGGGAAGGGGAGAGGAGTGAAGGGGAGAAGGGAAGGGGAGGGGAGGGGAGGGGAGAGAAGAGAAGAAGGGGAGGGGAGGGGAGGGGAGGGGAGGGGAGGGGAGGGGAGGGGAGGGGAGGGGAGGGGAGGGGAGGGGAGGGGAGGGGAGGGGAGGGAAGAAAGAAAACACCTTAAAGATATTGATCCGCAATAACACAAATAGCACAAGATGATGATATCCAGAAACTAATAGAGGAAACACTCTTCTGGGACTGATCTGCAGTCCATGACAGTGTTGGAATTCACTGCAAAACCTGACTGCTATATTGTTCAAAACTCTTGATGTCTCATTCTCGCCTTATTTTTCCTTGGTGTCAGCACTATACCTACATGACAGCATTATGTGTAAATGAACAAACAGAGCATTTAGTGCTGCACAAATTTCTGGGGTCATAACTCAGTTTTTACTCAGTCTTTTCTCAGCCTCCTTCTGGAGAAAAAGCTGAATTATGTAAATACGGAGCATGTAAATAGCAAATGGATAAACAGATTATGAAATTTCTCCTAAAACTTTGTTAATTCTTCAGTCATTATTCACTATCTATATACAAACAGGTATAAGCATAGGTGCAATTATCTTCCAGGCTAGACAAAGTAAAACTAATGAAGACTACAGATGCCAGAGAAAAGGAGAGCTCTGAAGATCCAAAAGAAACTCATTGACAGACCTATTCAAATGATCATGGCTGCATGGGAAAACAGATCTCAGGTGAACTCAGAAGTGTTTTTCTGTACTTGGGAAGTCTAGGTCAAAAGAGACATAACTGGACAAGGGATGCAGTTTATTATAATGACATCTTCTACAACTGGTGTTTCAGAGCACTCCAGCTTAATGATGTTCATCTCTCATAGTTACACCAGTAATACAGTGTTAACACCTCAGTAGCAGAGATTTACCTATAAATGCAGAATCCCACTGACAAAGGAGACATTTGACTCTACTAGTCAGTGAATAACAATTAGGATATGTTATGGTCCTGGTGACTATAAATCTGGAATAAATATACAGAATTCCTTTAGCTTGCTGCAGATTTTCAATAGCATAAACTGTTTTCACATATTCAGTTGTAGTACTGCAGATTTATATTGATATCATCATACAACTTATGTCCATTTCATTTGGAAAGAGAAGGTAACAAGCAACTAGAGTCAGCATTCTCATCACCTCCCTAGACGTGCATAAAAGCTATAGAACAAGCCTGACTTTTCTGGTGAAGGTGAAGCAAACAATGCTCTTTGCATTATTATTCTGAAGGATGCTTCGCCTCATGGTACTGAGCCATATTGATGCAGACAGTGGCATTAATGTCTTACATTTCTGTAGCACCTTTCATCCCTAAGGAATCTGTGAGGGATCCAGTTTAGAGGTTTCAGTGAAACACTTTGACTCTCCTTTGCTGCGTGGAGGCTTATTAATTAAAAATTTCCAAATTGGCATTTGCAACCTTGCCTGGGGCCTACACAGCTCGGTTTGAAGCTCTTGACAAAGTCAGCATCAAGTGACCACCCAGCCAACAGCTTCAAAAAGAGTTCTAAATAAATGTCAAGGACTCTCAGAGAAGAGCCACACTTTGTAAGTAAAGTCCTTATCTCAGAATAATCCCACTACTAGAACTTCACTATGAAGTATGAGGTTGGTGACGAAGCTCCAGACAATGGATACGTAGCCTGGCCTATCAGAAACAAAATTCAAAGAAGCACATTCAGACACCCAGTCTGAGAGGGAATCTAGGTCAGATGGAGGCCAGGCAAAAGTTATGCATAGAATCATTAAGGTTGGCAAGACCACCAAGACCATCTAGTCCAACCACCAACCTATGCCTGTGACTGCTCTAGACCATGTTACTCAGTGCCACATCCACATGCTTCTTCAACGCCTCCAGGGAGGTGACTCCACCACCTCCTGGGCAACTGCTCCTCACCATGGAAAATCTTTCATACATAAAT